ATTTCAAATCAAAGTAAGAGACTCGTAACATTTGCTAATGCGTATTCCATTTCCCCCATTTTTCCACCTTTTTTTGACTTCCTGTAAATATTCATTATGTTTTTTTTCACGGAATATGTACCTTTTGTTATTGTTTGTTAACCCCAAATTGGGCTTAAGTTCTTGCTAATTTGAAATCGAACTCGAAATTACGCACTTGATGGACGGGTGGAGCAGTTGGCGGAGGGTGGTGGTGGTGTTGGTGGTGGTGGTGGTGGTGGTGGTGGTGGTGGTGGTGGTGGTGCATATGTACGTATGTATAATGACGTAAAATCGTATTGGGGTTCAGCGGAGATCGAGCTATTTTAATCGCAGCCAACGGCCAACTATGTCGAGGCAAATGGAATTGTGGCACCCCGCTTAGGCATGCGCTGCCCCTTTCCCCAACGAGTCTCGACTGATCCAATTCAATGCGATTCACCAATTCAAATATCGCTTTGTTCGTAATGTCGCGGGGGGGCTATAGGCTTTTACGGACGACGTAGTATTAATCGTATGATATAGGCAGTTAAAGGTACATATTTGCTGGCAATTACAAATCTGATCAACTGATCATCTGGAGGCTCTTTTTGGAGGGGCGCTTATCAATCCATTGACGTAAGGCTCTGGGGCACACGCCCTCCCCGAAAAAAAATATGAAAGAAGCAATCATCCACAGTTATCAACTCCACGCCCACTGTCCTCCTTCCCCTTGCTGCCACAGTCCCCGCGATCACAAGATACACGTTTCCGGAGCTTTGGCTGTCAGAGAGTGCGGAGAGATAAAACTGTCCGAGGCACAGATACAAATACAGATACAGAGCACCACATGATCACGATCGGTTAGCCAGGTTGATGAATGCGGCTTTATCGCAGGAGAACACACCCATACCATACCACGCACTCGCTGACAAATCATTCAAGAAAAGAATAAAACAAAATAAAATAAAATAGATAGCAGCTTAGTCAGCAGACCATCCGTTGACTTGGATTCCGCAAGTCATTTTGAGTACGGATATGGGTATAGGATATAATATATATCCCATATATTGTTGGCATGATAAATGTAATGTGAGTGTGAAAACCAAAATCTGCTTGAGGTTTTTGCCACGCATTTCAAATATAACTCAGACATTTATTGGAAATTTATGTGCAGAGGGGAATTTAATGAACTTTTTTTGAGCTTTGGTTGAATTTATTTCTTTGGGGTGCGCTGATAACTGTAACTGGCCACTGTAATAATGTAGCAAAAGACAAAAATATGCCCAGCTTGAATTGAAAGTTTTAATCAATTTGGGATCTTCTCTTAAAGACTCCTCGAATAGTGCCTCCTGCCCAAATGTTGGTCCAAAATAAATAAATGTACATATGTACATACATACATATGTATGCATTAATATGTATCTATGCATATTTCTGTATTTATTGTGGCCAAAAATCGTGGGTGTATCTCAAGAGATTTATTTGCTTACGCGATCTTTCTTTATTTTCTTGTCCGGTCGATTCTCCTCGTTCCTCGCACATTTTGTACTGCTCAAGGTCTTATCCCGCCCTGCCACATGCCACCGTAGCCCCCCCTCCACATGTTAGCCTCCAATTTTCACTGTCGATCGTTGGCATTCAAAAATAGCACTTATGGAAAAAAAATGAGAGAAAATAAAATAAAAGAACAGTTTTTTGTTGTCGATGTTTACCAGCTGCGGGTGCTACTATCTCTCTAATTGATTCTTTTTGTGAATTTTCAAGGTTAGGCACTGTCGCAGGGGGGGCTTGCAGATATAGAGATAGAGAGAGAGAAAGTAAGAGGAACATAACGTTTTTACGATATTTTTAACGATCGCTCTTAATGGCCAGTGCTAATCTCGTGGCCAAGTCGCGTGCGACATTCGGTAAATGCCAGTAGAAAAGAGTCACAAAATTAATGGAACCAACTAAATACTTGTGTATGTATGTATGTATATTCCAATGGAGAGTCAATGACACGTGTGCCTCTCGCAATAAGCATAAGAAGCAGGCATAAAAATTAAAGTATGAGAATGTTTGTGTATTTGCTGTACACTAGAATCAGCAATTATTCGTCCAGTCACAGTCGTTACGTTCATTTCCACATACATTTTATAGTAACTATGACCGACAGTGAGACAATAAGTCTTAGAGAGAATCTTAGTTAAAATAGTTTAAAACCTCCGAGCAAGGGATACATTATTAGTATTTGCACTCAATAGTGTAAGCATAAATATTGGGCAAAGTGTATGTATGCATTTGCTAACTGTTCTCCACCTTTGCCGCTCTTCGCACTTTTTCTTCGCTCTTCTTTGATTCTGGCAGGGTATGCAAGGGTGTGTTGGGCGCATATACAATTAACCGCTGACTGGCACAGCGTAGAACAGACGCCAAGGACACTGAGTCATGCTTACAGCAACAGAAACACAAACTCAAAATGGAAATGTGATCCTTCAGTCTGCAGCTAGCATACTTTTAGGTGAAGCCAGCCATCGATGAGCACCAGCTAGTTGATCAGTTGTTTTAGTTTTAGAATCTACATATGCTAAATGGTAACACACACACACGATCACCCACCCATTTACATATGCATGTAGGAGCGAGATCGCAATTTACCTGCGCGTGGCGCGGTCGTGCGGCCGAAAACTTGATTCGGCGAAACCAAAAAAAAACGGCACACAAAGAAATAAGAGAAAAAGTCGAACAAAAAAGTGTCTAGTTGGCAAGTCAATCAGTCAGACAACAGAGGCAGAACGACAGACAGAGCAACAGAGCGACAAAGCGACGGACAGGCAGACAGACGGACGCAAGTGTCCAAATGAAATACTTTTTATGTTACCCACACACCTCTGCATATCTGTGCATGTATGAGTGGCACCTGTTCGAATCGGGTTGCGTACATTATTCGTGCTCTTTGCCCGGTGCCGAGGCTACTCTTTGGCTCTTTTTTACAAACATTGGTGTCTATGCTGCGCGTGTGTCGCGCTCTTCGGCACGGCATCGCCTGCGGCTTACCATTCACATTCTTTTTTACACGCTTCTCCCCACTTCGTCTTGTCTTATATAATCAACATATACTGGTACAGTTTTTTTATCGGTATTACGGACGAGCCCTGCAAACTGACCAATCCGCAAGCGCTAACCGATGAGTGTGGATTATCTCACACACCACACAGCTCATGTATGACAGATGACGCAGTGCGTCAGCAGATATTCTACATACATTCATACATATAGCTGTTCTATATTGGTATGGGTTATATGGAATAACCAGATAGATCTAGTTGGGATATCTATTTATGTAAATACATTTTCATGTACATTTGCGTGTATCTTAAATGAAGATGTAGCTTGAAGCATAATTATAAATGTAAATCAAATTTAATTGGGATCCAGTAAACTAACAGATAAAATGGCAATCGAACAAACTTTTTCTGTCTCTCTGCTAATGCAACAAACATAAAAAGTTTTCATTACAAATCTGAACTAAAAAATGCAACCTTCCCCATAAAAACTTCTTTTTTTTCTGTCTCGAATCTTTAATTGTATATTTAAAAAATCTCACTAATTCCAGCATAATCGAAAAAAAAACATATGTACATTTGTATGTGTGCCATCGAAAAACGACTTATTCGGTTGCTACCTGTGGCCTGGTGCTTACACACCAAAACTGAAAATTAATCTTCTCTCAGTTCAAAAAATCAAAAACTGGTTGGAAAAGGCCCCCAACTGGTCTCCGGCCAGACACGAATACATGCATAAATGCACAAATTAAACAATCCCCAGCAATACCCATAAGAAATGGCACAACAACAGGAAAGCTCCAAATAAATTGAACGCAAATCACATTCAAATTTGATGCCAGGCCAGACAAAGGCAAAAAGAAACAAAACAATTTGCCATTTATATTCGAGTAGCTTCAAAGCAACTCTCGATTTTGCTGCCCCTCAAATGGCATTTAATTACGAGTCTCCCTATCCCTCGCATATTTATATTTTGTGATTTTTGCTTTATTTTTTTGGCAACTTTCATTATCAATGTCAAGCACGATTCTAATTAAACGCTTTTGAAATACCAAAAAAAAAACAAAAAAAGCGAACGCTGACAGTGATAAGGTTCTGCGCGGCTGTTCGTTTCATTAATGGATATGAAAGAAGAAATGCTCGAAAGAGTCGCCAAATAGTAGCGTGAAGTGTTCGATGACAGAGTGCTACCTGAAGCGTGATAAGCGGGGAATGGAGCAAAGCCTAGCGGCTCCCCAAATAGTATAAAATAAGTTGAAATAAGTTGGTAAATATTAGAGAGCTTCCTCATACAAATTTGCCATTTGAATGGCTGATGTTTTCAGCCTTTAATTGATTTTCGACGAATTAAAATTGCAAGCAATTAATTAATGGGCAAACACACAAACACTTTCTGCCTATTCATCCCTGCACATTATGTACATATATTATTCCTGAATGATTCTGTACATTTGAGTTCATTATCAGTCTCCTATCGGTTACTGGGATGGGTTTCGTGATTTATTTTTTAAGTCGGTGGCAACCGAAGCTTATCAATCGATTTGGCAATTTCAGCGGGGCAGGGGGGGCGAAGGTGCTGAAGACGAAGGAGGGTGGAAGCTCAGGAGTTGGGCCTGGCATCGCATGTTTGGGGACTGTTGCTAGAGGGTCTCTTATCGCCATCCACTGGCATCGAAGTGCGTCATCGCTGCGCCAAGAACGCTGTAGGCTGTAGGGCTTCCCACTGTAACAATTTCCTCAGCAATCCTACTCCAGTTTCAACTCGAAAGTCCTTCGCATGACAGGTATTCGAACCGGTTCGTACAGCCATTCACATCCGACGAGATCCAATTACACAGTCCCCTACTTACATGTACATAAACCACATGGACATGTGCATCAAACTGGTTGCGTTCAGCAGGCTTCAGCTCGGTGTGCACTTGCTGCAGACAGACATAGAGAGAGATCAACAACAGCTTTGGCGTGTACATGGGCTCGTCTATATTTACAAGGATTTCGAAATAAAAATAAATAGTTACAATGCTGGCTGACAGTGGCTGTTAGGGGATCTTCTTGATGTGCGACTTCGTGTGCTTCACCTTCGAGGTGAGCACGTCGTAGCCCAGGCTGATGATATTGTCGTAGAAGATGCGATAGTGGGCGGGTATCCAATAGAAGTTGATGAACTGCGCCGCCGGCCACACTGTCCACTCGGCCGCGTACAGCTTCCAGGCCTTCTCCTTGATCTCCTCCCACACCTCGTGCTTGTCCTTCTGTTCGAGCAGGCCGAGGGTGACAAAGAAGACGCTGATGTAGACGGGCGAACATATCAGCTGGTCGAGCACAATCTTCTTGGCCACCACGCGCATGCTGCGACCGGGCATCCGCTTGTCCAGCATCTTGTACCAGTAGTGGCAAATGAGGCCCACGGTGACACCGCTGATGGCCATGTGGCTGGTGCGCTGGCTGTCGAAGCGTTCGATCTCCCCACTGTAGATCTCCAGACGTTGCTCCAAGACGTCGCCGAGGCAGCTGAGCGTCAGCGAGATGCCCACGTTGGTGAAGAGTAGGAACCTATTGCTGAACGCAGTGGCATGCCACTCACGCAGCTTCCGCATCAGTTCGGAGCGAGAGAGGGAGCCGGGAGTGCCAATGCCAGTACCAGGGCCAGGGCCAGTGCCGGTGCCAACATTCCGCAAGAGGTTCAGTCTGATGGGGCGGCCGCTGCTGGTGGCGGTTGAGAAGAGGGTCCGGGCCTGGCAGCGAATGGATTGCATATTTTTTTGTTTGTTATGTGCGAATAGTGGAAGGAGTGTGGACGTAACAGAATACGGTTTCACGGATTGGTTGGGTTGAAACGAAATTTACATGGTCTCCACTTGTAGTGCGTTGCAGCCACAGGTCGATCCACTGGTTGCACCGGTGATGTTTAATATATTTTAAATCTAACTTAAGCCGTTTTGTACATTATTTTCCCAAAATTTTAATGTACTCGAATTTTAAAAGGCCAAAAGGCCAGGAAAACAACAACCAACAACAATCACGTGTAGTAGCAGCTGTTCGACCAGGGCTGGCCACGTTATCGACTCATAAACCGATATGCAAAATATCAATTCAACACCAAAATCAATCAAAGGGATCTGTAATAATATTTATTGACGATATGTAAATTGCTATAGATAAATCGTTTTATTTAAACTAATCATAGTTGCAAAAATATTATTTGTTCAGTGCATTATCATATCGATGGTGATATCGATAGGAGAACAAAGCGGCAACCCTAGAAAACATTCCATTTCGTTTTGTTTTCATTTTTTTTTTTGCAAGCGTCGCATTAAGCAAGTTGTAAAATCGTAATCGGTGATTGATTGTCAGTAGCTGCCTTGGACGCGCGCCACATCAGTTATTAAATCTGTAATTGTCCTTCTCCTGGGGTTACCAGCCACTGCTGAAGGACAACAGTCAACTGTAAACCCAACAGCTGGGGGTGAGGTATGTGTGTGCATGACATATCATTGGTGTGCAGCTTGTTGTTGTGCAAAGTGAGGAGAGGCCAGGCCATTAGTGTACTCCAAAACAAAAGCACAGCAGATAAGCATTACAACTGTGACACACCGTCTGGGAGTAGCACTTTAACCACTTATTTTCGCCTAGATCCCAAGGCAAACAAAGAAACGCTGCCTGCCACACACAAACACGACCGCAATCACATCAATCTCTAGCATACACGCACACTAACGCAGCCAGGGGAAAGACAGAGCAAGAGCGAGTGAGAGAGGGAGAGAAAATGGGACGCGTATTTCTGGAGCACCTGGGAGGCCTGAAGCTATTCAACTGCGCCCAGTGCCAAACGAACCTGACCAACCGCAGCCAACTGATCAGCACAAGATTCACCGGGGCGACGGGTAAGCAATGGCCCGATCATGCCCGAGTTATGCAACGGGTGGCAGCTGGAATCGCATTCATGATTATATCCCATTGTTCCCACAGGCCGTGCGTATCTGTTCAAGCGCGTGGTCAACCTGACCTTCAGCAACATACAGGAGCGTGTGATGCTCACCGGACGGCACATGGTGCGCGACGTCATGTGCAAGAACTGCGGCGCCAAGCTGGGCTGGATGTACGAGTTCGCCACCGAGGAGTCCCAGAAGTGAGTATCCGCTCCCGCATCCCGACCAAGCAAGAGGCTCATCCCGCACTTCCCTCACTCTAGATACAAGGAGGGACGCGTCATTCTGGAATATGCATTGATCAACGAGGCCGAGGGCTTTCCTGCAGAGGCGCCCACCTCCAGTCATTGAATCTGAGCGAGAGCAGGGCTAGTAGCTGCCCTCACCGATCCGCATACCCGAAGAGACCATACATAAGGCGACCCGAACCGCGCATAACCCCTAGTATTGAATAGCAAGCCGTAGGCGAGGGCTTTTAATATAAATTAAGCCTAATTAAGAGAACAGATCGCCGTAGTCAATGATTGAACTCCGCGCCTGTGTCAGAGAGATGCAGGGGCACGTCACGACGGTAGACGCACATATGTATGGCCCTGTCTTAACGTTACTTAAACGTAGTTTTTAGGCATTTAGCACATAAGCAGCTGCGGCTTTTCCCCTCTATTGTAAACAATGCCATGAGGCTGAACCGCGGAAAGGTTCGGTTGCAGTCGCTGTTGCAAAAAACCAACCAACCAAACCATCGATCCGAATCACATTTAATCGAGATCTCTAGCCCGTAAATAAATCAACAATAAAGCACATTTGATTCTTCGAAATATAACGAACAATTCCAGGCGCTTGGGCTGTTTGGTTTCCTTTATTGTTTACACAAATGCAACAAAAATGCATTCATTTCCATGTTTATTGTTTTAGGTTTTTGTGTGTCCTTTTGCTTAATATAATCCTTAGTTAGTTCTAGTTGCCAGTCTTCTTAACCATGGCCAGGGCATTCTCGTTGGCAATCATTTGGAATTCCTGGAAGCGCTGCGACACCCGCTGATTCATCTTGAGATACTTTTCCATGCAGTTCAGCGAGCATTTTTCCTGCAAATCAACAAAAACCGAATGAGGATACTCGGACCATCGAATCAACTCTCCTCCCCACTTACCTCGTTCTCCTTCACGTCGCGGGATGTGAAGTCGCGAACGCAGTCTGTGAAGCACATTTCGGATAGCCGGTTGTAGGACATCAGAAAGTCGGAGAACTACATGTGATGGATCGGCGGATTAGTACATTTGTACCACAATGTGGTTGGATTTCAGCGGCTGCATTGCATCACGTTGCTTGAAAGCTCTACAATTGGCTGCCCACTCACCGTTTTCATCTGGTCCTTGTCCAGTTGGTCGATAGCAATATTTTCCGGACTTTTTGCCATTTTGATTTGTCACGTTTAACTTAACTTTTCTTAAAAACGAAATGTCCAAGGGAATTGTGGTCTATATTAAATAATAGTAGGGCCGACAGCTGTGAGCAGTGATATGTCAAATCGACCAGGGTTGCAGCTGTGCTAATTTTTGACACACAAACTATCGATTGGTCGCTAAATCCACACTTTTATTATGGTATTATTATTTCTTTTTTGTTTTTAATTAAAATGCCAACGAGTCCGCATTGACCAGGTACAAATGTTACTAAAAATGTTGAACTCAAAAGGTTTGCCGAACGAACACTAGAAATATAATTTTATTATTTCAAATAGAATCACACAATTAATGCTACATATTAACGTATTTACAATCATATGTTGCTATAATGTTAAATGTTGACAATATCGCAAAAAAACATCGATAGATCGTTATCGCACTACCAGGGTACCAATCAAGAAGAAACTATATAAGGAGGTCTCGTCGGCATAACTAAGAAATTCGTGCGAGTGAAAAGTGCGAGTGTAAGGGCTTTCGCTGCAAGTGTGAGGGCAACGACAATGTGAAAACCATGTGTAAAAACATAATAATTGGTTCATAATTTAATGTGTAACAGTTTGCTACGTGATAGTAGTCTTTGTTTAGAAAATAAATACATATTTTGAAAAAAAATGTTGTCGGCAACCAACCTTCCGCGTAACTCTGCCACCGACGAGACCTCCTTATAGTTACTTCATGGTTACTTCATGGGTAGAAATAGCGTACCTATCGGCTGGCAGCCATCTTTTTTTTCAATGGAAAATCATATCTGAAAAATTTTTTGCTGGGTGTGCCCGCAATTGCTGGAAAACGTAAATTTGTAGCAACGCGATTGCTAAACTAGTTGTGAAAAGAAAAGTAAAAGCATTAAGTATTTGTACGCCCGACGACACCTCACTAACACACATCGCCAAAATGCCACGGTACCGGGAATGGGACCTTGCCTGCAAAGTCTACGTGGGAAACCTGGGCTCATCTGCGTCCAAGTACGAGATTGAAAACGCATTCAGCAAGTATGGACCCTTGCGCAACGTTTGGGTGGCCCGCAACCCGCCAGGTTTTGCCTTTGTGGAGTTCGAAGACCGTCGAGATGCAGAGGACGCAACCCGTGGCCTGGACGGCACCCGTTGCTGTGGTACACGCATTCGCGTGGAAATGTCTTCTGGTCGGTCACGCGAAGGACGCGGTGGTGGCGGCGGCGGCGGTGGTGGTGGCGGAGGCGGTGGCGGTGGACCGCGTCGTGGTGCCCGAAGCGGTAGTGGAGGCGGTGGCGGCGGTGGTGCCCGTACTGGGGACGGCGGTGGACGATATAGGTGAGTCTCGGCAATAGGTTATGAAATTATTAATATGTTCGTTTCCATGTGTAGGTGCATACACACACGCACACGCGAACATGCAGATGTGCAGAATATTTATGGTGCCATCGAACCGTGCATGTGTGCGTGCGTGTGCTTGCGAAAAAATCGATTTGAGTATACATACACAAGAGAAAGAAAGAAAGAAAAAATGAAAACAATGATTACATGTCCATGCCTGGTGCGCGCACAGTGGCGTCTACACAGTGGGAAAACAGTCGCGGGCGCACAAGTTGTCCGAGGTGCCGCTGAGGGTCAGCCGTGGCGTCTGCGTCCAACGTCCTACGGGCCAAACAGGCAGATGCTGCTGAGCCCGCCTCTTTTGCATGCAAACAATTTAACCTCATCCGCATCCGCATCGCTGTGCACCGATGCATCATACTGTTCTTATGCTTTTCACATTCATTTCGCACACACTCGGCTTGGCCGAGGATGGGGTAGAGGGTTAGGTGAAGGGGGAGTGGTTGAACAAAACCCAAAACAAAACAAGAGAAAAGAAAAAAAAAATTATGTTGTGTTTTTGTAACTTGCAATGATAAAATGGAACGAATGGAGCCAGTTTTAATGTGGTTTCACAATCATTTTGCAGGATCAAGTCTTCTACTACTACAAGCACAACAACAACAACAACTACAACAATAAGAACAACAACAACAGCTACTACTACTAGAACTTCTACTACTCCTCTTCCTTCAACAAGAACTACTACTACAACAACAACCACCACCACCACCAGAACAAGTTCACGTCTCACAACTACTACAGCTCCTGCTCCTCCTCAGACACACATTTCACCACCACCAACTCCAACTCCAACAAGAACACCAACAATAGCATACACCACAACCAATAATTGCCAACAGCCAAGGCAATTGTGTTGTGGCCCTAGTATGATATTTGCCGATTTCTGCTACTTCAACAAGTTCGATATATTCCGTTGACAGCAACAATTGACGATTACTGCAACACTCAATAAGCACACATGCTCCCTTCCACCACAAGCACACCAATACCACCACAATCACCACCTACAGGATGGGATGGGATCCATGGGTGCAGTCAGTCCAGTCCAGTCCACACCATCATCAACAACAACCAACAACTAGAGGCCTATGGCTATGGCTACGGCTGCAGCAGCAACAGAAAACAGCAACAGCAATAACCAACAAACAGCACACACCCACCCAACCACACACACACACACACACATCAGTCATGGTTCATTTTTTTGTTTTTCTTTTGTTTCTTCTGATTTATGTTCTGTTGCAAGCAAATATTGTTGACTGCAGCGATCTGCGAGCGGCGCCTCATCGTGTTCATCTCTCACTCATCAGCAGCTACTGCTGCTACTTCTATTCCACCCAATAACTACACAAAGCCACACCAGAAGTAGCAGCAAGTGCGACAACAAAAGAGCGCCACAGCCCAGCAACACTATTAATGCTCCAGGGAATCCATACGAAAACAAAGCCAAAGCCAAACTATAACAGAAACACACACGACACTCCAACCGAAACGAAACCCAGATACCAATCCAATCCAACCCCAATCCCAAATGCAATCGAATCCAGCCAACGCTTCATTCAGCCAACTTGCAACCAACTTGGTCCAACGTCAACGTTCTTAGGCCTCGACCACACTTCTCTGCAGAGCTTCAAGTCGAACGATTTGTCCCCAACCTCATCATCACCAAACAACCACAACATCATTTGTCATCTTCAGCGCAGCCTACCAGCAACAGCAACAACAAAAGCTACAGCTACTACTGCCACTACTACTACTACTATGTACTACTACTATTACAACAACAACAACAATTCAACAACAACAACAACAATCAAAAGAAAAACACCAACAAGACTTTAGTGCTGGCAATGGGGAATGGTCGTTCCATTTATTTGCGATTGGACTCCCCTACCCGATGCTGGTTCTTGTTGGTGACCTCCCAGTAGTTGCACCTCTTCCTCTGCTCACCTCTGCTCAAAGGTCAATCAATCAAACGATCGATCGATCAGCTCTCTTGAAGCTGCCTTCACGCTAATGCAATGCCAATGCCAATGCCAACCCTTCTTCAATCGCAGCAAGTATGAAACCAAGCGGAAGCGCAGCTTAGCCCCAAAAGCCAACCACCACAACGACTGCAGCGAAGAAGCTAAATGTTTGGTCAAAACTATACTCGAACTAACAGCATTAACCAAAATCATCTATTCTGTTCCTTTATTTGTTAGTAACTCTCTCTCTCTCTCTCTCTTTGTATTATTTTTTGTGGTTTCTTTTTTCCGTTTCCTGTTCTTATGTTTGTTTCTGTTTTTGTTTTCTTTTTGATCGTTCTCCTCTTTTATTTTTTGTGTCTTGCGATAAATGTTGTTCACGCTAATGGTCTCTGCTCTATATATCTGTATATATACAATGTGTGTGCATGCAAAAACCCGATCAACTCAAAGCAAAACCTCTTCACCAACCTTGCGAACCAGCGCAAGCAAGCAATCCGATCAAAAGCAATCAATCAAGCTAGCACCAGGAGCGTGGCCCTCCTCGTCGTCGTCGTCTCTGCTCATCTCGTCTCGTCCTGCTATGGTCTGGTCTGCTAACGACACGTCACGTCTCGTCTTGTATCTCCATCTTAAGCATCTCGGATGGCGGCGTCTTCAGCTCAGCTACCACAACCACCGCCACCAATCATTCTTCCACAGTTGCCGCTTCTACTGATGCTGCTGCTTCCACTACTGCTTCTCCATTCAGCTCCGACCAACTTCTTCAGCTGCAGCCAGAAAAGGCGATCAAACAAGCAACCAAAAAAATAAAGCAAACCAAAAAAAAGTACAGTCATCACCAAAAACAACACACCAAAAAAAACCACCACAGTACCACCAATCCACAACCACCACAGACACTTAATCAATCGAAATCAGAATATCAGTATCAGAATATCGTATCAACTGTCCTCTAACTACAACTACAACAACAACTCAACAACAACAACTCAACAACAACAGCTACTATTACTACAACTACAACTACAGTCTTCTCAGTCTGCTCTGCTCTGCTCTGATCATCAACCAACCAAAATCAATCAAATCAATCAACCAACTAAGCAACCAACCAACCAATCAACCAGTCAATCAACCACCAACCAACCAACCACCACCACCACCAACTACTTATGTAAAGTCACACCACCACCAACGCTTTCGTAACCAACCGGGGCCCAAAAGTCTGCCACAGTCTGCCACCTCAACTCAAATCTCGACCACCTCAACCAAGCTGAAGAGCCAGCTCAGCTCTCAGCTGACAGCTCACAGCTCAGCTCAGCTCCAATCAACTCCGCTCAGCTCAGCTCTGCCTTCGTTCAGATCAGATCAGCTCAACCTCCAACTCCAACTCGACCTCGACCTCAACCTCAGCTCTGCTCAGCTCAACCCACAGTCCAGCCCAGCCCAGCCCAGCCCGACTCTGTTCAAGTTGTGTGTGTTGTTCGATCGAGACTCTACATTCTCAACTATCAACTTTACCTACATATTAAGGAATTTGCTAATTATTACATTCATTTTCAGACAGCGACAAGTGCACGAAACTATTAATTTGTATTTCTCTCTCTCTCTCTCTCTCTCTCTTTCCTCTCTGTTTCTCCCACTCTTTCTCTCTCTCTCTCTCTCTCTCTCTCTGTCTATCTCTATCTGTGGTGTCACCCATATCCCCATCTAATTTCAGATCGAGGTCACCCAGAAGGTCGAGGACACGCAGTCGCAGCTTCTCAAGGGATCGTCGCAGCCGTTCCGACTCCCGGGATCGGCACTAGGTGGCAAACAGTACCGTTTCAGCAGATGTAACCTATACATATATACTTACACAGTCTCACCACCCACCCCTCTCCCACACACCCGCACACAGTCTCATAGCGATCGTAGAGAGCCACAGCTGTGTCCGAAGCAAATAGTTATTGATTCACCAGCAGACCGACCAGCAGCAGGCAGCAGCTACGAAATTCCCTTAACCCTGGAGTAATGGACATCCCCATGCGGATGTAAGTTTAAAGTAATTGTAAATTTTATCTATCAGTTTATCGAACGCCCCCCTAGGGGCGCTGATTAAGAATAACAAGTTTGATTGTAATATTAAGACCCACAACGTAGTTCCCTCCTGTCCTATAAATTCAAACCCCAGACGAATCGTGACCGACTGGTAAGGAGGGAGTGCAGTGCAGTACAGTACGGTACATATTGGCATATAGGATATTAAGCATATGTTAGATTCTAATCATCAGATCAGCATGCATCTGCAATAAACAACTACAACAACAACAGAAACAGCACACGGACGAAGAACAATGAACAGAACAAGAAGGTGCAAACAGAAAAGAACGAAAAGGTAAATGCGATTTAAAATTCATGGACGCATTTTATTGTTTCTCTTTTTTTGTTATTGTTGTGTTGTTTATTTCAAAAATCTGTCGTAACTCAAAATGGATACAATAAAAAGAAAAACAAATAAAACAAATTATGAAAATTAAAACGTGTTTTTATTATCCTAATTCATTTAAGGACAAGCGAATAACTAGGAATAAACTGTAATATGCATGAAAATTCATCCATGTTGATGCGTTGACAAACGACAACGAATCGAATCAAAAATGTACGATCATTTCATGCATGGGAATTTGTATAAGCAGCCAAACGACATCCCCAAGAGCCTTACTCTACTCAAACCCACTATATACTTACAGTCGGTCTTCAACGTTCTTAACTTATTCTCAAGACCAGTGGGTGAAAGAAGAAAGAGCCAGAAAGCTGTTCGCCATGAAATAGAGGAGAATAGCAAGTACAGCTGTTCAGCTGTATCTATACCAACTCTGTTCCTGACTTGAGGCAATTCACATACATACGTTTAGCTCCAAAGCGGATATGGATATGGACACCGACACCCTCTGGGAATTAATATGCCCAGCAGCATCATAAATCGAGGATAACTGATTTGGCTTCCATAAAACTATTAAAGCTGTTTGCTATGAACTCACGAAACTGTCAAGCTGGCACTATTTCTTTTAGCTGCTGGTGAGACTTTTACTTTGAATTACAAACTGTCTGCCATGAGACTATTTAAGTTTCTTGCTGCACAGCCGTTCCATTATTAATACAATACTTACAGCTAATTAGCTTACAGTTTAGATATTAATTCCAGCAGTTCCAGTAAAGTTCCCAGTAAAAATGTAACAATTGTAATGTTTATATATTTCATATTTATGTTGTATGTTAACAAATATTCATGAATTAAGGACATGGTACATAATATGTATTCGTGATCGGATCGGGGCATACACACATACATACATATGTGAACGAGTATGGATAAATATATACACGTATGTATAATGCAAAAACAACTTTCCTATAGAACAATATCCGGATCGGCTACGCTAGGCCAACGCAAGTAATAAATCACTTTTTGGCTCTAACAAAATTATTGTCACTCCCCTCAAATCACTTGGATTTGTTGCCATTCTCGCTTGCAGCATGCGCAAAAGTTTCAAATCGTGGATTAGGGATCGGCACATCGCACATCATTGCTACACAAAATTCAACATTTTAGTTAACGACTAAACAGAGAGAGGATTATATAGCAGCTGCCAAAGAACCGAATGAGTCCACAGTTTGTAAGTAATGTCTAAGCAAAAATGCAGAAAAACTGCTGTCAAATTGTCTTAATACATCTTAAATGTTTTAAACAAAGAAAATAATTCATTTGCTGTGGGTTCATGGAGTTCTTTGGCGTACAAATATTGAATGTAAAAATGTTACACATTTATATTTATGTTTTATATTTGATATATAAAATAATATAGAGCAGAGGAAACAGAGAAAAGTCTATGGCAAATAATTATCAATTATAGTAACAAAAAAAAAATAAACAGATAATCCTTAGCTGGGGGGTGGGGCGTGATCAGATACTCTTAACACAGGCAGGCGGAAGGGGGAGGAAGGGTCTAGGGTAGGGCCACAAGCAATGGGTGCGGCATCTACTTGTACTTCTTCATGAAATCAGCGTGGAATACACGAAACTTCTCCATCATCAGTTTCAGCTTGTCCGTCTGCGGCAGGATCGTGCTGCGGAAATGATAGGTGCCGGGCTTTTGCCCGAATCCGCTGCCAGGAACAATGCAAATGCCTATAAAAGCGACAAGGAAATGCGATTAGTTTGGTGTACAAATCGTTGCAGGGCACATCTTACCGCTCGTCTCGAGGAGCTCGAATGCGTAGAAAGCATCGGGTGCCATGCCCTTGGCCTTGGCTGCCTCAACGGCCTTTGGTGGGATCTCGATCTGGGGAAACACGTACATGGCGCCCTGGACGGGGTTCACCTTGTAGCCCTCGAAGCTGCTGAGCGTCTTGTGGACAAGCTCGGCGCGCTCCTTGAGGGCCGCCAGGGTGGCGTTCTTCTCCTTCTGGAATAGCTCGTACGAGGGCTCGCCCTGCTTGGGTGGGTTGACCAGAGCACTGACGGCCACCTGACCGGCGGTGGTACTGCACAGGGCAGCCGTTATCGACTTGGTGAGCATGGCCTTGACCTGGGGACATAGGTTAACCACCTCCATGTAGCCGCCACGAATGCCGCACTCGCCGAGGAAACCCTTCGATGTGGACAGGAAGCTGACCAGCTCTTGGCTGCGGTAGGGCTCACCCATCTCGTAGGCGACCTTCTTGAACGAGTAGAACTTGGAGCTCTTGTCGTAAACGTTGTCCTGGTACACCTCATCAGCGAGCAGAAGCAGCCCGTTGTCGTTGGCAAACTTGATGATTTCGACAATGTTTTCGCGGGTGAGCACCTGGCCGGTGGGATTGCCCGGATTGATGACGACCAGAGCGCGTGGATTGCACGTCTTCTTGGCCTCATCGAAGGAGCGCTGCAGCTCCTGGCGGCTTAGACTCCAGCCGGAATCCTCCTCCAGATAATAGTCGACCTTGTCCATGCCATATTCGGCAATGGTGGCAGAGTACAGTGGATACTGAGGAATGGGCACCATTACGCCAGGCTTCTTGCCTCCCACCTCAGCGCTAAAACACAAGTCAGAGCCAGGATTAGAAAAAGCTTTGAAAGGGAATATCACCACTTACTGGATCAGCGAGAGAATGCTCTTGATGCCGGGCGAGGCACCACCAGTCAGATAAATATTCTGCCAGTCGCTGGGCACTCCGCCGTCGCGCTTCTCTATATAATCGACCACCTGGCGACGCACCACCTCGAGGCCAGCGGAGTCCGTGTACGAGCCCACCGAGTGACCCTGGCAGTTGGCCAAAATGGCGCGGGCGCGCTTCTTCACATCCTCGGGATAATCGGGCGAGTCCAGCAGGCGAGGTTCGAATGTCAAGGCCAACAGCTGTAACGAGGAAACAACAGATTCGATTTCTGGGAAGATCTCTCTCTCTCTCTCTTTCTCTCCAAGTGCGACTCTCACCTGACGCAGAAACGTCACCGGCTGCTGTCCCATGGCATGGCAATCACCGATATTGGCCCGAATCACCTGGTCGAACGGCTTCTTTGCGCCCTGCAATCAAATTCAATCAAACGAAAGCGAAATTATAGTGGGTTTTTTTTCTGAATGAAAGTCTAATGTTGAATGTTGGATGCGCCACGAGGCGTATCAAATGAGCTTTTAATTTTGCTCTCTTTGCCATGCAAATTACATTCAATTTGGGAGGGAGGTGGACGACACATACAATCAGCCCGTAATTGCACACGATTTGTGTTCTTCATTGATTATTTATGGCACACGATTAACAGGCGGTGGACTAGCTAGCGATACTAATTAACGTTTCATCGAGTGCCTGTGGCTAATCGGGGGATATCTATGTATGTATCGTACAAATAAAACCAAACAAATAAGGAGTACAGATAAAAGCCTTGAAATGACATTAGCGTCTGTTCTATTTTGGATTCCAATCACAAATTAGGGGTTAGGGGAATCCTGCTACTTTGCATTGCCTTCCGCTGGCACAGCCCTTTTCCGTACTCTCTGGAATAAAGGGTGAGGCGGAATAATTTGCCAAGAAATTGTCAGCAATCTAACACACAATTTGCAGGGCACTTGCAGTGGCCTGCATTCATTATAGCTGGCAGTGGCTTGGATTACAATGCTCCGCTCGACTGGGCACACAATTGACGGGTGCGGGGAGGCTGCTTTCAAATGGGTGACCGACCAAGTAATGGATATGTAAAATGCTGGCGCGTTGGCGTTGGTGTTTTGTCGTTTACGTCATACCGCAGTACATGTCAGGGTAAATATTGAATATAATTGAGGAATTCGCTGCACATCACGGACTGAGACGGGAACAACAAGTTTGCCATCCAAGGGAACGCTCTACATTTTTCCACAGTTCACAAACCGCAAACATTCGCACAGTGTAAACGTACTCAACAGATCTGGGGCCACCACCTTATCGAACCATATTTTCCTTTTCAATTTCGTTAAATTGCTGATAAAAAAACAGGTGTTGCCAAGTCGCCAGAGTACATTGTAGATTACATATATACTGTATAATATTTGTTTCGGAGGGCTAAATGGTACCTAGTGAATGTATATTGTGTAAACCTAAAACCGTATTTATCCCACAGTTTCCCATCTGCAGTCTCTCTCTCCACTCTTCGCTCTCCACTTTAAAACGTATTCCATCAATCAATTTGCACTTTAGTGTAGCTGTAAACAAACTGTTTGGTTCCAAGTGCTATATAATTGATAAGTATATGGCAGGGCAGGTATGTATGTATTTATATACGGTATATGGTATAAGGTAGAGTCGTATAATCATACAGGAGAGCTCGCCCAATCGGCGATCTTATCGCTCTAAGCGAGCCATAACAATAATAATATGTAATAACAATTTGCCGAATGTCAAATGGAAGTGAAAACAACTGTGAAAGCTTAATACTTCCATAGCAACACTAATATTGGATACCCAATACTTTGAATATTTTCTTGGATGATTCATCAAATGGATGGTAATACGTGGACATAATTATACTAACATTTTTTCTAGAGGGATAAGTCAAATATACCCTCGTTTGCTATGCGGCACAGGGTATTATGAACTTGGCACAGGGTACGGGGAGATCCCAACCATCACATAATCCACTCAATGCATTCAAGAAGCCCCAACGAAGAAGCATAAGTAATATTAAATGATAAGAATGTCTCTGCCTTGGGCCACGACGCCACATGGTTTTGGCAAATGGCCAAATCGTTCTGCTTCATCCTGTTAGCTGTGCCACAGGCCGAAAGGAATTTGATAGAAGCACAAAGAACAAAAAAAATCAGAGCAAAAACGAATCGAATCAGTCAGGCGTATAAGGAAATCAATCGCAACGGGGGCGGATCAGGGGGGAACGTGAACAAGCTGTCAGCGGCATTAAAATACAAATTGTGAAAAGTCAGCGCGGGACAAACAATGGATCTGATACATACTCGCATAAGCGTAGAAGTTTGTATGTAAATATGTATGTTTATGTGTACTCAATGTATGCATGTGTATGTATGTTGTGGGTCAATGTGCGCCGTCGCTTGGGCATATTTCGAAGAGAATTCAGCTTGAAATATCCAAAACAAACGGTAAAAGTGTACAAAGAGAATGGTGTAGCAGGAGAGAAGTGTATGTATGGATGAGGCATAAAACACACACACACACTGTCAAAGCTTATGCGCATGTTTTGTCTCTGTTTTGAATGTTGACGTTCTTTTCGCACTGATAACAGCATCCCTTCCCCGCCCACGCACACTCTTGGCTTGTTATGTAAGCACAACTCAAGGGAGTTGAAGGTCGTATGAGGCCTTCCCCTAATTGAAAGCTGCAAAATGTAATTAACAATAATTAAAAACTTGCCATACACATGTGTAACACAAACTACACACAAACTCGACTTGAGCTGAAAGCATAAGCGGGGATTAGGCAAGCTCTTTTTCGCCAATCATTCATAGTAGAAAGTAAGGTCTTTGTTCAAATATGAAACGATATCACTTTTTTTTTGTTTTGTATGTCTTCTTATCCCACTTCAAAGTTCATTATAATTTTCGGGTATTTTTTTATCACCCATAAAGCATATCTGAGATAAAGTACATTTAGCCACGGAATTTACCAAGTTGGGGCTCACTTTGAAGTAGTCTCCAACCGAAAAAGTCACATCCTCATTTCGAATTTCTATGAACAGCCTCTAACAGGTGGCCGCAATGCAGTTGGCTGCAACAGTCAGTGAATGATTTGGTACCGAATTCTGGCCCGCTGAATTATAAAGAAAAGGGCGGCAGAGCGAACACTTAAATTCACTACTACACTAACACTTTGGATATACACACACGCACATATGAGTGTATAGCGTGCTTAGACAATAAATGCGGGCTTTTGACGGCCATTAAATTGGAAGATACGACACGGCGCACTTAACGTGGCGGTGTTCAATTATACACGCTGCCAGGCGTCTAACCCAGCTCACTAACCTTTTCAAGCTCCTTTTCGATTTCACCGGCTCGTATCACCAGAGGGCCACGCACAGCATACTCCATGGTGATGAAGTTCGGATTGATGTTCTCCAGTTGCAGACATTTCGCTGGCATGTTGGTGCTTGTTGAGAACGAACTAAGGAGGAGAAGTGCAAGAGCGCAATATTTTCACTTTGTTATTAAAATGTATTTCACTTCTTGGACACGGCCTAAAGAAGAAGAAGGCGAACAACTAACCGACGGGCGTCAAACGGTGAATGTCTACCCCCAAAAGCTTCGGATTGAATGCGGCTGCGGTGCGACGTCGCTGTCGTAGTAGTCACGCTTGTCGCTGCTGCTGCTGGCTCTGCCGCTGCTGTTGCGGATTTTTGAACGCTATGTATAAACGACTTCCAGCGACGAATGACGACACTGGGCGTCAATTTGGATTGTTGCTGCTGCTGTGGATAGGGCTGGCGAAGTGGCAAGGCGGCGGCGGCCCTGCCAGACATTGTGGCTGCCGCACGTTGCATGGCACTGGGTTTGTTTATTAGCAGACGGCTCATTTTGTTCTCTGAATTTAAATGTAAATAATTTATGTTAAATATATATCGATATATCGATGTATTGATGTGAAATATATTTATTATTTCTGTTGTATATTTAGGAGGAACACAGAACACACGCATACTGTGAAAGGGTGCGTTCGTATAAGAGTATAATACGCTGGTACAATGTATAAGAGTCGGTTTGCCGGTTCTCTTGCTGTCTGTTGCTGTGTTATCGGCAGAAGCGGCTCAATAAAATTGCTTGCTTATCAATATTAAATAAGTAGATTATATATTTATTGGGCGTATGTGTAGTTTATGTGTGCTAAGTCCGAGGTTTATATAATTTAGCGATATAACACACTCATTACAAGCGCAGTTAGCAGTTCAGTTAAATTTGCCACTGGCAGCGCATATGCACATTTAGCGGAGAAACGAACCCCCAGCTGACAGCTGCATTCGAGCGCGCAACTGAAATTCAAATTTGAATCTGTTTCTTATCGCATTTTTGTAATCGTAAGTCCATTATTGCTGTGGAACAGGCTTCATTTGGGGGTGTACGAAAATACGAGAGAAAATAAATGGGTTTATTTTTGCACAAATTCAAACTGAATTCCGGTTGCTGCTACACTCGTACAGTCCCCTAATCAGTAACACGAACTTTTGACTTTGAGCCTGAGCGCGGGTACTCTTATCAGTGACGTACCCAGTCCAAGCTTTGTACATGGACCCGATTCCTACAGATTCTTCACTTTTCATCTATTTTGCACTTTGAAACGGCACTTACGTAACTGCAAGCTGGCAAAAAGTAAAAGCAAGCAAAAAGCAGACAAAGAAGCATTAAAAAAATGACAATGGCCACAAGTCGTATGGCTAAATATTGTTGGTGTAGAATGTTTTAAAATGTGACACGGCACGGCACAAATAAAGCGTCAATCAGCCACCCCAGCATATGTTTTGCTTTCTAGAAATTATATGCCATGGCATACCATGCCATACATACTATATGGCACAAAACATATGTATAAGAGTGTATTGTGTAGCTGCTTTCGTTAGGGAAGAAGCCCCGAAGCCGGCTAAACTGAACCTCAGAACTTGTTTGCCCATTGTCCAGCTCTCACACGTTTCGTTTCATTAGGTTCGGGTGAAGATTCTGTTTTGAGGAACGGAACGCAACGCACTTGAAACCGGTTAGGGTTTGATGGGAGCACAGCGTAGCAAAAAAGTGGGTTTGCTTATGCAAATTTGTATATATAAATGGTACATACAAATATAACATGATCAGCCAGCTAAAGGGGATACTGACTAAGCAAAACGCAGGGAAAGCTCTCAAAGCGTTCGCTTGGAACAGGAACACAGGCAGAAGGAACAATTGAAGGTGCCAATAAATGGGTGAGCTACAGTGGAGCTACGGCATGGAAAACAGCTGCTAATTGCAGATACTATTGGAAATCTTTAGGCAGCTACCCGTAGGTGATGCAAAAAGTCTTTTTTATTTTCTTTGTGTTTGATTTGTTTTGTTTTTGGCCCGCACGGCACACATTACACTTATGCAATGATGTTCCAAAAAAAAATTTGTGGACTTTGATGCAGTGACAGGCCACTGTGTCTCACACGCACACACACACACACACACACACTCCTGCAATCTCTCTGGGAATTTAGAATGTGCACAAATTTAATATCAAGACTGGATAAGATAGGCCAGATAACAACTGAAACTAATTAAAACTCTATACTAATCCAAGGCGAGAGTGGAGCACGGAGCGGGTCTCAATTTGATTGAAATGTTAGAGCGAAGGTGAAGGGCAGAAGCTTCTGCTAATTGCTTGCCTAAACAGCTGTTAACGCCTCATGCACTCACTACACTCACACCCAGACACACGCACACAAGAAGAAGACAGGGAGACACAAAAACACAATGAATGGGAGGGGAAGCAACAATTTTTGGCTATTCACAGTCGTGCAGCAAGGGTGTAATAAAATAATGTGGAGACATTAGTATTGTCGGTCTTCTAGTCACACATCAACTCTCCCTTTCGCTCCTTCAGGCACTTCCAAAACAATTTGCGACACTCGTGGGAGAATTCATTCTGGAAGTGCCGCTTCCACCTGATAATTGACACACTTTTGCAAAACGAGCACGCAAATCAATTAGAGGGCGTCACGCAAAACGCTAAACGGTGTACCGTTAGGCAGTAAACAAAACCACAGTTGGGCGGAAATTGGCGACAATTGAGTGTGCCACAAATCACTTTCACTAAACAGCGTCGCGCAGCGGTGGCGGGAGCACGTTTCTTGGCTCAATAAGAATTTTTGTCTCGCCTCTGTGTTTGTGTTTGTATGTGTGTGTCAGTGTCCGTTCTCGTGTGTATGTAGTTCAAGAGCAATGCGTCCGTCTGTCAGCCTCCAAGTTGGCAGAGCTCGATCGATTTTTCTTTGCCGAAATGCAATTTTTCTTTTTCCTCCTCAACTCACCTTGATGAAGGGGTTGGGGGGTGGGCTTGTTGTTTATTATCTCCTGTCCCGATTATCTAATGATCCCAAAACGTTGCGGTAGCCGCTGCGAACTGCTCTGTTGGGAGGGACACACAAGATTGACCCTCAAAAAAAAATCACACACACGAACACAGCGAACATACAACAAATGTGGAAAACTTAAACTTATTAATAAACTTATCTACACCATCCCAATATGTACCACATACATAATAAATATTAGGCTTTGTTTGTGTGTGTGTTGGTCGTACCTGGCGCGCGCTCGCGTTTGTGTGAGTGTGTTTACGGTCGGCAGAATATGTGTGTCCACTAAGAAAATCAAAGCTTGGCCGTTCTGCCTCTCGCTCCAATTCCGCTAAAGCAACTGAAACTGTCCCGTCCTGGTTCTGCGGCGTCTTACTTCTTACTCGACAATTATTTAGACAACGCGTGTACAGCGGTTAGTTGTTGTTATTTTATTGTTGCTGTTGTTGCATTTATATTTATTGGCCCAGTGCGAAAGTTTTCAATTGCGCCAAGCGATATATTTGAACAAAATACCGATTGCACAGAACAAAGCAACGCTGCGTTGTCTGGGTTGGCAGCGCCGCGTTCTCTGTGCTTGGCTGCGCTCAGTTATCGCAATTCAAAAAATAAGGCGCGCAGTTTTAATTATTTTGTTTTATTTCCTAAGAAACTTAGTTCTATTAAAAAAAAAGTGTATTCTTAACTATTCTATATGTACAGAGGTTTGCCGATTCCTGGCTACGTGCTAATGCCCATTATGGACTCAATGGAAAAACTCAACTTGGGCTTCTTCGCTGTGGCGTGTGCGGGCGGCGTGGGTGTCGTGATGGCTGTGATTGGGGTTGCGACTATGAATGGCGGCCCCGAGTGATGCATGCCAGCAGCCGCAGCGGCAGCAGCAGCAGCAGCGGCATAGAGGGCGTTACCGCCCAGCGTCGCCTCCATGGCGTAGTTGAGTTCCGGATCAGCGAACGCTCGTCGCTTGCGCATTCGCTCCATCAGCGGCGAGCTGAACGTGGGAAATCTCTGCTTGTACTCTGCAAAAGACAAACAAAAGAAGGAGACTCGAATAAGTAACGGTACTGTGTGTGTGTGTGTGTGTTTGGGGGCGTTATCAGTGGCGGACAGAGTACAAATTGCCGTAATTCGTTCAGCCGAGGGTAGTAATATGAGCGTCTGCCCTCGGCCCAGACAGACCCTGTTCGGTCCAGACAGTCTGGCACCAAAATTGGTAGATTCTGCAGAAACCAGATGGAGGACAGCAGACGAAGAAGATCACCAAAGTGAAGTCATTTGTTGGCTGTTGCCACATTGTGTTTCTGTCTCAAGAGGTTTTTCCGTTTTGGTCGCGTATCCACTTACAGTACGGACAGACAGACGGACTGTCCGTTCGCTCAAGTGATTGGAAATGTGCGTACGTAGACACATTTCGTGGCATCCAATTTCCATTTGTTTCTCTTTCGAGTTTTAATCACTTGCTGTTGCTGTTGTCATTGTTGTTGCAGCGAATCAGTCATTTCCTGTGCCCCCGATGGCGTTGGAGGATCTCCAATTACGCATCGCCGAGCCAGACAGTCTGGCACCGCATGGCACATCGCATGGGCATGGGCATGGGCATGGGCATGGGGACTGGAATCTATTACTAACCTTCCATGGCTGCTGTGATGTGCAACGTGGACTGTTGCAGGTTGCGCAGTCGCTGCTTGTAGATCCTTTTCTGTGCAATCAGTGCTTGGCGCGTGGCTGATGAGGATGAGGATGAGGAAACTGAGGCGACTGCTGTAGCTGGAGCTGGTGGTGGCGACGTTGACGTTAAGGACTCCTCGCCCTCACTGCTGGATGCTGCGGCTGTGGCTGTGGCTGTGTGCGATGTCTGGGCGGATGCCTCCAGCGCCTCCATTGTCTGCTGACGTCGCAGTGCCACCTGAGCGGCCATCACCCGCTGGCGATCAACGACCAGCTGACAGTTGGGGCAGCAGCACTCACGCCAGCGGCACAGCTTCTTGTGGCCCTTGACGCACGAGATGACGCCATGGTTGCGGCAGCGCGCGCATTTGGGTGTGCGCAGGAGACGGCGTTCCTTCAGCGTTATTTGGCTCATCCTTGCTGACACGTTCGCGGCTAACGATCGACTGAAAGGATCGCGGGAGAGTGACAAACATTTAAGACATTCAACGGCGGCAGCGACCGCAACTACTTGACTACCAGAATCGACTCCTCCGTGGCTGCAGACAGACAGTCTGCTCGGGCAGCGTCAAGTGGTCTGGTGTGGTCGGGTCTGGCCTGCCATTGGCTGCTAATCGCTGCAACTAAAAATAGACGCTCCAATGGCGGCACAGATGTCTCGCATCAGGCATCAGTTTGTGTATCTCCACAGACATCTGTGTTTGGACAAAGTCGCTCGACAAATTGCATATTGATTTGCTTGCTACAATCCAATCCGTAGGCCACGAACCCAAAAATGTATCATAAATCTATGATTCAATTCTCGGTTTATTTTTGGTATTTGTATAACAATTTGTAGCATTCATTATCTTATATATTTGCCCCTCTATATGCATGTATGTATATAATTCTACTATATATATATATAAATACAAATTTCAACACGGATTTCAACTAGTTTTTTTTTCGTTTCTTTTAATATTAGTTTTAGCAAACAAACAATAAAAAAAAAGGTCTTTATATTCGGATTCGTCAGTTAATTACGAGATATATTTGTTTTTAGGTCTGTATATATTTATATTGTTTAATCTGGGGCACAGGACACGCCCTTAAATGCTCTCTTCGTATATTTGTGTATTTCTTTTTGATCGAACACTTAATAATGGAATTTTCTCTCTCACTTTTACCGATTTGGTGTGCATTTCAAATCAAATCGATTGTCGAATTATATCACTCAAAGAATGATAAATATAGTCACGAATAAATAAGGAATCAACGCTATGGTCATTGAGCACTGCTTTCATTTGATTTTCTTTAACCTTTAACCTCCTTAATGTTTCGATTTAGAATGTTGATCAATAATTTGATTCATTGATAATGTCGGGAATGTCTGCATATCTCTGTGATTTATGTAATTGTTGGATGCATTTTTAAAGCCTCAGCCTGGGTTGAAGGAGTTCAATCAAAAGTGAGTGAAATGTTGAGTTGTGGTTGGGGTTCGACAGGACCTGTCCTTGATTATACATAATTATAAATGCTTGCAAAGTTATTGTCCTTTACTGCTTAAACAACTCGACTCTAAATGGAAATCTGTCCACAAATGATTATAATTATAATTTTAGAACTAAATCTAAAAGTGCAGAACATAAAGTGCACAACTCACAGGCGTAATTGTTGCTAATTTTGTTCGATTCTTTAGGGTTTCTCTGTTGCTCTGTCATCATATCACAATGCTTAAGGGGATTGAACGCTTCTCGATTGAGTTACAAATTTCAACAACAATTGATTGCCAACTGACGATCGGAGATCTATCTAACTATCTATGGAGTTGTACGAGTAAATACATACATATAACAGGCTCACAGGTCGCTAGACTAGCTATCATGCAGCGCAAGGGCATTCCACCACGCGCTGCATGCCGACAATGAACGCAAATCTCAACAAGTGCTGGGGGTGGACTCACTCACTCTAGATAGTCATAATATAAATCTTACATTCGAATAACAATTAGTGCGTAGACAATGTGTTAATATGTATAACTAGTTAATAGGCTCTGTTTGTCCTTTGGTGCGGGTCTAGGATTAGATTAAACTCTCTCTATATTTTAATAATACTTTTAGTAAATTTGATTTTAGCCCTAAGCTAAGACTGGGAGGGAGCTGGCAGGATGTGGGTTAAGCAGTAGAAAAGTAAGAAAGTTATTAAATGCAATTTAGAGGCTCTCCATCTTTCCCGTCTCTTTCGTTTGCCAAACAAGTTGGAGGGGGAAGAGGGACTTTGACTGGGACTGGGAGAAGGGTTCTTCTTTTCCAACTAAATACGCTAATTTTAATGGCTCATCGAGCGAGCGAGCGAGATCTGAGACACCGCCTTAAACGATGCTGTTCCGCTTGGCGCTGGCCCGTTGCAGTGTGCTCTGCATGGCGGCCACCACAGCCTCGGCGCCGCCCGTAAAAATTGGCTGATTGACGGCCCGACGCAGGACATGCCACATGGCAACAGGTTTACGCAGCGACGAGAGCATCTGATGCCAGTGCCGCAATCCCTTGCCCACCGCACAGCTGCCGGTAATGACATGGCCCAGCGGCAGTATACCGCCCTCATTGGTCACGCCGAACACCGTGAGACGCAACTGGGCCGTTGTCAGATTCTGCGGCGGCACACTGAATATCATCGACTCGTTGAAGATGGGACAGCGATCCTTGCGCTTCAGCGACGTGCGCTTCTTCAGCACCTTCTTGTCGTTGTTCATCAGATAAACCTGCAAGCAAAAAGGGTTATTGGGTGCCATAAGGGCTGCTTCACCCCATGCTTACCTTCACAAAGACATTCTGCACAATTTCCGGGCTGGACTGCTCCACGTCCAGCTTCAGATTGCGCGCTTTGACCACCACAATGGTCAGCCGTTCGGCCGTTGGTAGGTAACTCAGCGAGAACATTAGCTCGCCCCAGCGTGCGTTGCATTTCCGCGAGTCCGACAGCGGTATCCAGGTGGTGATGGGACGTGGCAGCTCACCAATCTCCATCTCCGCTTCCCCAATCAGCGTGTGCGCCGGTCCGTTGTGGTACAAATGGAACCAGAGAGAGTGCCGCACCTGTTTCTTCTGCAGCCAAAAGTTGAAGCTCTCATTGTAGCTGGGCGTCAGCGTGGAGTCGACCACCTGGAGGCACAATTTGTCGTGTGGGTAGCTCCAGAAACAGCCATCAAATGTACTCACTTTGGTCTGCATGGCGCCAGGATGATCGGGCACCAGATAGATCCGCACAAACGTATCCAACGACTCCACACTGAAGGGACAAATGAGACCCTTGGCCTCCAGCACGCTCACAGTCAGTTCCATGCCCTCGCTGCTGATGCTGTTTCTGCAAGGAATTCACTGATAGTCTGAAGGGAAATCGAACTTCATCGTGCGCTTACTTGTCATAGTGCAGGCCAATGCAGAGATATCCAGTGATCTGGGTGTAGGGTTGATCCAGCTGATCCAGGAAGAGGGTGGAGTCCGAGTTGACCGAATCGCAGGAGATGGCATGCTCCAGATTGATGCCCTCCAGCGATCCCGCAGCGGAGCCCGTGTCCAGCGACACTTGCGAGCTGTTGCGCCTGCCCAGGCCCAGGCTGAGTGTCGACTCCTGTCGCATCAGAGAGCGACCAAAGCTCCAAGTGCCGTTGCCATTGCCGTTGCCGTTGGCCTGGCTATGGCCATTCACCAGTGGACCGTTCATGCCCAACTTGCGGAAGAGATAGTCCTCGGAGATGGTTTTCTGCAGCATGTGTGGCCCCTTGACGCGCTGCCCCAGACCCGTGAAGGGATTCGTTGTGTTGTGGAACTTCAGCAGCCGACTGGAGAGGCTCTGCGACTCCATGAAGGGATTCCCATTGTGAGGTGCCGCAGGATTTGCAGTTGGAGTTGGAGTAAAGGTCGCTGCTGGAGCTTCTGTTGGGCCTGGCTGCACATGCTCAATGGACTCGCAGAGGAAGGGATTTGTGCTAGAGTTGCGGCGCTTCAATGCCGGTGTGCGTCTCTCCACCTCCACCACAACCTGGGGCTCCACCTGCGCCACCAATTGGCCTGCACCAACTGCAAGCTGCTCCCCGCTCCGGTTGATGCCCTGCTGCAGGGACACCTGACGCTTTGCAATTGGACGCGGAATAGCGGTGGCCGACAGGTTTACAGAGGCGGAGGTGGTGAGTCGCGGTGGCGGCGGTGCCTCCAGTGGCTGTGGCACTACAGTTCGGAGCGGTGAGCGCAGACAGGAGCGGCGATCCAGCAGCTCCGGCTCGTCGGCTGTGGGAGAGGCCAGCTCGTTGACTTGACTAAAGGAAAACGTGACGGTCTTGCTGCTGGCTCCGGCGCTATTGGGTGCCGGTGCGGGTCGCAGCGGTTGCGGCGGAATGCCAACATCCCCCTGGGGCAGGTTCCACAGCGGCGTGGTGGCCTCTAATGTGGAGGAGGCAGCACCAGTGCCCGTGCCCCCGCCACCACCACCACCTGCCCCACCATTCAGCAAGAGCAGATGCTGGGAGCGATTGTGATCATCCTTGTCGATGGTGTCGAAACGCTTGAAGCTGCCGCTGGTGCTCAGCAGGAACTCCGAGCCGGATTGGATCTGTGGTGAGCATTGGACGGACAATCGATAACATTCGGGCATGGGAAGCGGGAACCAACTTACACTGGCCATATAGCCATTGCCATGGAAGAGTTTGTGCTTGTGATTGGAGAGGCCGATCTTCTCCTCCTTGCTGGACCGCATGCGCATCCAGCTGGCCGCCCGGTGCCCCAGGCAGTGGCAGGCAAACAGCAGGCCCATGATCAGCACCAGGAGCAGCAGAGCCAGGCTGGTGAAGGTCATTGTCAGGGACGGCACCCTATCCATGGCTATTGGCTCTCTGTCTCTCTCTCTCTGCCTCTCTGCTCGGATGGATATCCTCTACCAGTCGCTGGTCATTTCGTGAGTTTCCTACAAAATGGAAATGAGTCAGCCGGGGGTGAGCGGCAAAGCTTCCCTTACAAGTTTCATCAACATACAAAATAGAAACGAAAATAAAACCCAAATGTTTTCATTGGAAAATGATGTGTGGAAGGGGTTGGGCATGAGGTGTGCAAGGGTACAAATAGTGAAAACACTTTCATCTCGCATCGCTTTACAGTCGACGATTTGCCTCATCAACGATGAGATGAGATGAGATGAGATAAGATGAGATGCGGATGATGTGGAGGCGTGGACAGGTGCTCGTGCTCTGGTTCTCAATCTCAAAAATTGACAGTTTTTTCAATTGAATTTGTAACCGAAGACGCAGGCATTGCCACATCAAAGCGAAGCGTCGAAAGAGGTGTCAAGAGGGAGGGGGCCGGGCTGGTCGCTGACAATGGATCACTTTCGCTTGGCAGCAGCTTGCCTGCCGGGAGGGCGGCTCTCCCACACTTAGAACTCTCTCTCTCTTGCTATCGCTGTCGTCACCAGCCAGAAGGTAGCAGGCAGAGGCACTCAAAGAGTTTAGGCAACGGGACTTAGGCGGATTATTGAACGAGAGAGTGTCGGATGGGAGAAGGCAGAATGGGGGGAGAGGCAAACACTGACAATGCATTGCACTCATCCAGGTCTCTCTGCCTCTCTCACCCGCACTTGCTCCGCCTGTCTGTCTCTTTTCTTGTTTCAGCTGGCGCTGCCAGGCACTCAACGGTATTTAAGTAACAGCACTTGAATGGGGATTATTTCTACGGCCGAATTAAATTGCTTTTAGCTGGGCTGCGAAGTGAATGGTTCATTAAAACGTTGAATTAAGCCCTCGTATATAATCAATTTATGCAGTTCAGTTCATTGAGCTTCAGTTTAATTATTCCCGGGCATAAATGCATTATATATACTACATGGCCCACAGCTTAGAGAAAGTCGTTCTGTGCATACCCTGTATGTATTTTGCATTGTGCGGATTAGAGAGAGAGTCAGCGTGTCCTTTCGCTGTGTGGACACTTTTTGCAGGAGAATCCGCTGCCTGGAGGCTTATCTATCACAAATACACAGGACAAAATGATGTATCCCCCATTCATGCCAGCATAGACACTGCCCACGCAGCCTCTTATTTCAAGACTATGTAGGGTCGCCTATTGCATACTCTGTACAGACATTACTCTATGGTGGAAAAGCAGAACTTGCGCTGCCTTTGGCTCCATCTACCCCCGACTACCCTCTAATTAACGGGTGTAATAATCGGTTAATCAGCCTCTCTCAATCTTCCGCTCTCCCACACACACACACGTACACAAGTACACTCTGTGTGACAGGGCTATTACTACGGTGCCAGCAGTAGCTTAGAAGAACTTTTGCAGCAATGGAGGTACAGGAGGCAGGCTGCCAGCATCAGCACAGTGCCACTTTTCATTAACCTACTGCGAGGTCATTCCACTGGCTCTGTCTTTTGTTGGCGCTCCAATGCGACAGGATGCAGCAGCCCAGTCTGTGTGCACATGTGCATATTTGTTACATACAAATATGTATTTATGTACATGTGTATGTATTATTGCATATGCAGGCCTGAAAGTGTCACCGCATAAGCCAATAAGCGAATATGAGGAAGAGGAAGAAGATGTGGAGTGCTGCCGGCTAGTGACCTCTTTTTGGCGGCTTCTCGCTTCACTGCTGCCGCACCAAAAATGGGACACTGTGGCGGCCAGACCGTTGGACGCACAACAAAGGCACCAACGAAAACAAAAATGAACTCTAGTCACGTCAGAAGACAACTGTAAACGGTCTATCTATCCTCCCTATCCACCCTCTCCCGTACTTAGAACCTTGTTTCGCTACTCATCTTTCTGCCGCCTCCCCTCCTTAGTTGCGTCTGTCCATTCCATTCCCTCTCTTAGCGGAGAAAAACAAAAGAGAAAGGAAATCAGAAATGTTTTTTATGGTGAAATGAAGAGTGAAAAGCAAACGAAAGTCAAAGTAATCAAAAAGTGGTAGAGCCCGAAGTGTGGGCAGAGGTAAAGGCAGCGGCAGATGAATAGGTGCCGTGCCGGCAGAGAAAAAGTACAGGGGCAGAACTTAAATCAGCAAAAAGGCAGCGAAGGAATTGCTGGCAGAGAAGGAAAGCAGAGACAGAGGCATCGGAATCGGCAACTACAGAGCTGGCAGAGCAGGATAAACGACAAACGTAGGGGTGTGGGGGTCAAAAAATCTAGAGCAAGTAGGCGAAATTGCAGAAACATACGCACGGGTCACACACATTTTCACACACACACATTCCTGCCAGTACTACTATGCCACAATTACAGTTAACTTTTCGGCTATTCATTTTCGAAGGTTTTGACTGGCAGCAAAAACCACTAAAGATAGCACCTGAATTTATAGGTCACTCTTCAGATACCTCTCCCTTGGAAGGTCCTTATACCACTTTATTTGGACACACTTTAAGATAGCACAACTACAAAAAACAATAAGAGATAGCAGTACAGCAGAAGCTCAGCAACAGCAGCAGCGCAGGAACAACAATGTACACAAATCAACAAAAGAGGACAGCAGCAGCAACACATTTCCTTTACCTTTAGCTTGGCTTCTCTTTTACAAAAATAAAATTTTTTCATCATTATACTGTTTATGGAATTTAACACTTTTAGCTTAATTTTAATTTGGGGCTGCCCCAATAACTGGAATCACACACAACCAGCTTGACCGCGGAATTATCGATAAAATATACCGACAGACCTTCGCGAATATACCGAAGGTTTGAAAAGTTACCGTAAATCTTAAAACATTTTCCTGGAGTTTGATCTTCTGTTTAACATTATCAGCTAGTTATCACTCTCAGCTTTGAAAATATAGTTTTATTCGAATCATCGTTCAATTCTTCACAAGAATGGCTGATTTTCAAGACCTATCTTCTTTGGATTGATTGCAAAATAAGGTTAAAACTAAAAAGCTCAACCAAAAAAATAGCATTAAAAGTTCTAGATACATTCTCGGTATTTATAATCTGAAAAATTTCGTTGAGATGGCTCACCGACACAGATGGAATGTTTTTGCATTGGTACTAAATGTTGCCTATCCGGACGGCAACAACAAAACTTTGGTCCACTATTTGGGTCCTCCCACAAGCTTTCTCTTTCTCACACGCATATATTCGCCAATCACATATACACACAATCTCACGTTTACGATAAGCTACAGTTGAGGTGCAATCGATAGACAGGGTTTGTGTCTTGTCCTGTCCCAAAAATGAGCTTAATTTCGACATAAAGTGAGTTTTAGGACATGGATTGACCATAAAACGTATAACCATACCATTATGGCAGCGATTATGCCAATATACCAATAATTATGGCGGTCATTATGCCATTATACCAAACCATTATGGCTGGTCAAGTCCAAAAAATGAACCATAAAATGCTTGGCCATACCATTATGGTTAAAAATGTACCTTAAAATGCCATAAACGAGAGCTGAGCCGCTGGAAACATCCGAATCAAAGATAATGCCGTGAAGGCAAATATGTTACTTTTAATGAAACAGCATGTGCCGGCCTTATTTCGGAGAGATTTTATGATTATATTCTGTTTCTATACTGTATAAAAATTAAGTTTCTGCGAATTATTGCTCAATTCTGAATGTTGTTCGAGTCATGCTGCGAGAGCATCGCGTGTCGTGACACGAGAGCATCGCTATTCGTCTCTATTCTAACAAAGGGGTTAGAAGGAGGGGATTTTGTGTAGACTGCAAGCTTCGATTGGGGACTTTGCAGAGCTTTTATGGAGTTAACAGAGCTGTTAGAAGCCAGATTCGGTGTTCCAGTTACTGTTATACAGTCAGCCGGGCATTTAGCAGCGACTGAGCAGTGCTGTTACGAAGCTTAGCAGCGCAGCTGTTACATGTACGAATTGAAGATAAATCTTTGCCTTTCAGCAGCATCTCACACATACATCCATGCATGAGCAGTGCATCTTTTCACCGCTTCACCGCTACTCGCATGGCTGAGCAAACTGTCCGCATAGCTGTGATGTCATTAGCTTGGCTGTTAAAGGATTAGCAAGGTAATTGGGTGTGCATGCGCCTGCAGAACTGTTAACGGCTGACGCGTGGGCCTGAAGTTATATAACGGAGTTAACAGCTTTTGCGATGGGCATGCTTACAGCAAGCTGTTAAACATTTAACAGAGCTATTGTGTGCGCTTCCCCTGTTCGCTTCCCCAGGCTGTTAATTTAGCATAGCCTCTAAGGCGTTGCCGCAACTGTTAAGACCTTGGAATGCCATTAGGGGCCTGCATTTGTGCTTCTTCGGCCCCGTCAAGGACTCTTAGCAGCAGCAGCAGCAGCAGCATAACGAATAATGATGACAAGGCTATCCTACCCTTGCCCTGGCATGCCCTGCGTCCTGCAGCATGCACCGGCACCCTGCATCCAACTGCCATGTGCAGGTCATGTGGAACGCAAGTAGTAGAACAGTTTGACCTTACACAATGTTGTTGTTACGCTGCCTAATCCCGGAGCCGAAGCTGAGCCCTTGCTGGCAGCATAATGGGGTTAGATAAATACGAGAAGGATGGGAATGGGAATGGGAATGGGCATGGGGATGGGTAGTGGGGTATGGGGTATGGGGTATGGGATTAGGCACATTAAAAGTTTTGTGCAAGTTTTCCATCGGGCTCATTTCACTTGGATGTGTGTGCAGAGCGAAATTATTTGTGCCCCACTTTCGGGGCACACCAAAAAGCATGCTTTATTAATTTGTTGCAAATGCTTTTCCAGCGGCAATGTTTTAAGGGAAAAAGAAAGCACCACCAACAGTGCATTTTAATTTGGCAATTTGCGGCTTTCATTTGCTCAAATGTGGAATGTGGCGGGGAAAACCTATTTCCACGCATTTCTAAATCAAAAATTGCTCTAATGAAAAGCAATTCGCATTGATGGGCATAGCCATAGAATCCTTTGACGCGCTTTTGCCCACTGCCCATTGCCCAGTTGATTGTCGAACAAATCAAATTGATTATGGGCCAACACTTTGGCAATGCATTGGCTGGTCAGGGCCAGGCCAAATCTAGGTGGGCCAGCAGCAACCACAGCAGATAAAATAACAATAAAAAAGAATTAAAAAATGGCAATGTTGCAGTGCAAAAAGGGCCTTTGGGGCAGGCAGCAAAACAACAAAAAAAAACTTACCATCGCAATGCGATGCACAACAAAATGAAATGAAATGAAATGCAATGAAATGAAATGAAATAAAGCTGAGGGAATTGTACTAGTATATGGTGGTGGTCGGCTTCTATGAAATGTGGCATATTGTGGCACGGACGGCCCTGGATGGTAAAACTGTGCGGCAACTGTACCAGCTCAGTGCAGGAGGCTCCCGGCTCCGGCTCCGGCTCCGGCTCAGGCTCAGGCTTCGTCCGGGGTTGAAGAGTCAAAGTCAAAGCAAATAAATTGTGCAAATTGTGGTAAATTGAAACTGACACAAGCACAACAATTTCCATATCGGTAGCTGCTATCGGCAGCGGGACAGGCAGGACAGGCAGGACCGGCAGGACCTGGCATTTTTGTTGTGCCTAACAATATGTATAATAATGCTAAATGCCAAAATGATTTCAAATGCAATTTCAATTGAATTCGACAACTATCCCCCACCATCCTAGGATTCATGCCACTCTCTCTCTCTCTCTCTCTTTCTCTCTGTGCATTGATCAGGGCATTACGAAAAAGTTTTAGGCCATACAAATAATGGCAACCCTTCAGTCGTTGCAGCACCAGTCCCAGTCCCAGTCCCAGTCGCAGTCGCAGCCTCAGCCCCAACAGACCCAAAAAACTGCTGCCATTCCAGGCAGAAGCCTATCAACCGGGCACGTCAATTCATGAGAAAATATTGCACAAATGCCGAGTGAAACGAGCTACATACAGCACACAAACACAAACAGCACAAGCGCACACACAAACACAAATATGCACACACAGTTACAGTTACAGAGAGTGAGTGAGCGGGAGAGAGAGGGAGAGGGGGAGAGAGACAGGCCAACTCGTTGGCCAACAAACTTTGTTCCCTCACAGTGGCAGTGCCCGGCAACCCTGCTCCCAATTTTGTTTCGGTGAACTGCCCCCCCCCCCCCCCCCCCCCCCCCCCCCCCCCCCTTCCCCTCTATCTGCTCTCGCTCTCACTCTTCCATCAATTGACAACCCAATTAACTTAGAATTACGGGATTTATATGGGGAAGCATTTCAACGCTTTGTGAACCGAGAACTCTTTTCAAGTTGCTCCTCTGAATGGAAAGTAGTTGCCGAGTGTGCCAGTCGATCAGGCTTTAGGGCCTACCCAGCCTGCCCAGCCTCCCATCAACGCTCACCAAAACTGATGGCATCATCATAATAGCGGGTGGGCACACAGGGGGTAGCAGAGAGGTATAACAGTGATGGGAGCCTATGAAGAATCTATTTATGTTTTGTTGCATTAAAATAGTCTTCATTGAGTCTAACGTTTTGCCGGGTCAAAACAATGTGTCAATCTTAGTTATTTTCCATCTATTAAATGTGGTTACTTAATTGGCAGTGGTGCCCCGAAACTGTCCATCAATTAGGTCGATTATTTTGGGGCAGGGCAGGGTAGAAGGGGTCAAAGAACGTCGTGAACTTTCGAGGTCTGGCTGGGATTTGTTTCAAAAATAGCCACGGGGTTGGGCCCATCCACACCGCAAACACTCTCCAGCTGTATCGGTGTGCCTGATCTTCTTTTTGCGCTATTTTTGTTGGCGCAGTGTGCCAAGTGCCAAGTGCCGCGTGCCACGTACCAGTCGCTCTGGCAATCCACTGGTTTCTCAATCCCCATTGTTTTCACCACCGACAGGAGGTGGGTAATGGATGTGGAACCCCCTACTGCCTGCTGCATGCTCCCTGCTCCCTGCTCCCTGCTGTCAGGCGAGGCCTTCACTCTAATGAGCATAATCTCGTCATCGTTGCCTCAAACTGACCCATTGATGCAGGGACTCTTTGTGGAGCATATACTTACATATAGCCTGCCCTCTACCCTTCCCACCACACACACACACACACACCCACACCCACATACACTCAACTGTTGGAATATTTGGGCGAGCGCTTTCTGAAGCGCCAGATGACGTTCGCCTCGACATCGGCGCATCCGTTGCCCAGGTGAATGAATGATATGCCAGTTGCCTCGGACAATGGACCACCTGACTGCCATGCCCTCTACCCTGTGTACCCTCTGTCCTCTCTGTCCAATCTCTGTCCTTTGCACTGGGGTGCCCTTTGTGGTGCCACAGGACACAGCCCCGACATTCCTCCATCGCTATCCCCACCCGCAGCACACGCATAGAATGATTTGTCAACAAAAACCGAAAACGAGTGACAACGGAAACAAAAAGAGCAGAAAACCCCGTAAAATAAAAAACGAAAGAGAACAAAAAAAAACAAAAAGAGATTCGCCGGAAAGGTAAGGAAGTCCCATTGAAAAGTCCGTGCTTTTGTGGCCGGGATGGCGACTGTGACAGGGTACGGGACAGTGGATAAAGAGGTGGACGAAAGCAAAGGGAGGCATGTGGATGGGGTCGAGGACGGGCAAGGGGACAGTTGCTATTTGTCAGTGCTCCATCTATCCACAGACATGTGTACTCGATGGCCATTGAT